TAATATTAATTTTTTCATTAACATTAAATAAATTATTTTATTTAAACAATTAATTAAATAATTATCAATTTTTATTTCTTTAATAATAATTAATATAAAAATACACTTAATTTGTATCATAAAGGTACATATTAAAAACTCAATTATAGGGAGATGGCTTTATCTAACAGTAAAGAAACGAATTATGTGTTACAACATAATAAAGCAAAATATAACTTATTTGGGTGGACGTTAACTTGAGACTTACATATAAAACAGATACTGCTTAAGGGCACTGCCTTGCCAATTGCCAAAGAGGTCATAGCTAAGAATATCCCAACAACCACCTATAAATCACAGACTTCATAAAGGTTAAATGCAATAAACCAAATTATTTTTATTTTTTGGTACAACAATGAACCAAATTAATGAAAAATGATTCTAGTATTATTATTATGGATAATGATATGTTTACCCAATGTTTCCACACCCTTCAGTTACACCCAACTCTTTCCGTTATTGTTTCCGTTAATTACATTAACTCCGTTACCATTACTTCTTCCTCTTTCTTTCTTCTTCTCTCTTTTTTCCTCTCTCTTCTCCATCATCGTGTTCTCTAGAGAACCTAGGTCTGAGTTCTCCAGAGAACCCATTCGGTCCCAAGTACAGTCTTTTCCTTTTCTCTCTCCTTTCCTTTCTCCCTCTTACTGTTTCGATTGATGTTCTCTCTCTTTCAGATATGGAGTTGGGTTTGAAATGTTAGAATTTTTGGGAGTTTTTTGGGAGAGAGAAAACAAATGGAACTTGAGATGTTGGAGAAATTCAACAACTTGAAATTTTTTATTGTTGCTGTAATGAAATTTTAATCATGGCCATTCGTTCTGCAGACCCACGCCTCCAACTTCCCTTTTTTATTTTATCTTCTTTTACTTGTTACAACGAGATCAACTTTGACATTGCAACAAGATCAAGCCAGCAGCAACGAAATCCAACTAGCAACTATGAGCGGCAGCAAGAAACATCCAGCGACCATAATCGACGGCAAGAAGCAACCAGTCCGTGCGAGATCCACCTCGCCAACGGCTCAAGACAGAGCCGCAAACACAAAGGCGGCACCCACAAATCTGGTTTCCATCTTCAAAAACAAGAACCTTCAAGAAGAAATTAAACAAATTTTGAAGTGTAATCAGACATACCATGCCGATCAAACATTTATCCCTCACCAGAAATCTTTGATTTTAGGCCCAAATTTCATCATCCCCCACCGGCAACCATAAATCCTCTTTCCCACAACCAAAAGATCATTCCCTCTTAGTAACAGAGTTAATGTAATTAACGGAAACAATAACGGAAAGAGTTGGGTGTAATTGGAGGGTGTGTAAATTGGGTGTCCGTATCAGCGTCTTATTATTATTATTATTTACTATCAAGGTGTTTTTGAACTAATTTAATATTTTAATAACAATATATAATTAAATGATCTTAATTAAAGGCACTTATCTTACATTTATCTAATATGGCAAATCAGACATATCACCATGCACCCTCACTCAATTGGAATTTCTCATAATGAATGCTACTATTATATATCCCAATACAGCAGCCACAAGAACCTGAACCAATGCAGAGTAAAATGACATTAAACTTGGTATGAAAAAGAGGAAATAATGAGGGAGAACTTATTTGTAGATTGGGTCTTTTAACTTATGTTTTTAGGTTATGGGTGTACTTATTATTTTTTTATTATTAATTTGTATAAAAATTATAAAAATAAAAATTTATTTTCAACACTGATATCAAATGAAACAATTTAATTAAATAGCTGATAAAATTTAAGTCAGCTTTTATTTTTTCTATATAATTAATAACAAAAAAGTACAATAATTACATCCTTAATGTATAAATTAAAAAAATCCTTGTAGATTAACAAAATTCATTTTAGCCAAATTCGTTATGTTTTATTTTTTCATGCCTTCTGGTGTGCCTTCTTGGATGTATATTGCTTGTGAAATTTTAAAGGTTGTGAAATTTGACTCAGATGTATTTAAAGCATGGTTATTAGTTTAATATATTAGCCAAATTCGCAATGTGGACTTCTTTAGCGAGAATGTTTAATTTATATATTTATGTTTTTTATTACTTTTATAGTTGATGTTTAACTCTTTTATTATTTTCATTATCAATTGTGATTAAGAATTATTTGATTTGGAATTTACGTTTTCGGTTTTTTTTTTTTTAATGTCAAAATAACTTGATTATTCTAAAGAAAAAGAAAAATAAAGTCAAATTTATTTCTAGAAAGAGAAAAATATGAATCAGAAAGAGGATCGTAGCGGTAAGGCTTAAGAGAAGTAAAAAGAGGTAGTTTTGAAAAGAGAAAAATATTATTTTTAAAATTATAAGTAAATATGTTAGTTCATACTTTTAAGTATGACATTATTAAAATAAAGTGTGATAATAATTTCATCTTGAAATAACAATAAAATAATTATTTGTTGAACCCTTCTATTTTAAACCGAAATTTTTAATTCTTTAGACTTGAGAAATCGTTGTAAATCAATCTTTATTAAACACTTGAACTCAGCTATCGGGTTATATTTAACGAAGAGCCAATTTTTGAAGAAAAAAATAAACAGAGAGCCAATTTTGGTGAATGTGAATCCCACATTGACATGGCACTAAATTGGACAAAATTTTTTCTAGGCCGCGTGACCCACTTGGCTCAAATGGCAATTCTTGTGGGGATTTTTGCCGTTCAAATGTGATGACCCTAGAACCTAAAACCCAATGTGATACTTTTTTTTTTATTATTATTAATTTTTCAATATCTGATAATTATATTTAATCTCAATTAATTCAGAATCGAACTAGGTTGAACCCCATTTGAAGAGAAACTCTCCCAGCACTTGTTTTTTTATTTATAAAATTCGAACTCAAAATTTTATTTAAGAAAAATCGAATTTTTTCCACTCAAATCAGTTAAGATCTTCAGGAGACAGAAAGGAGGGACAGATTGAGGGCTTGCTGATCCGTAGGTAGGATTAAGAAAATTTCGCAACTTCTAGCAGCAGATGCCCTCATATCAAAGCCAGCATGTTTACTACTTAACCTGAAATGAAATAGTTGGTGAATGTGATGCCTTTTAATTTCACAAAATTAACGGATTAAACGAGGAGGAATTAAAACCAATTCCCCGAAATTCGCTTCAGAGCATTCTCGATCTTCTTCTTCAACTTCCGTTACCCTTTACAAAACCAAACCAATGGAATCAACTTGTTTGAGAAAGGGAGCAAACTTACAGAGTTATGCCTTCTGGGAACTGGGTAGCACGCTCCCACCACCACCACCACCACCACCACCACCACCACTAGCCTCAATTCTCGGCCACCAACAACTAGCGAGGTCATCACAACACTGGGTCCGTCAACAAAGCCATTACTCAGTGCACCGTTGACATCCCCCTCCATGCCGTTTTCGAGTTGTTCGGCGAATCGGGTAAGTCATTTGATTACTCACAATTCGTGAGGACCACCACAAAATCGTTCCCGAACAACAGAGCACCGCGTATTTGTCTAAAATTTCAAAGGGGCAGTCATATCCAGCAGTTTGGCTACATGCTTGCCGTCAACAAAATTAGTTTTGGTTTAATCGTGTACAGCGAGAATGTGCATGAGATGCTTGGGTTAACTTCTCAATCAGTACCCCGTCTTGGTAAGCCTGAGGTTCTTGCCAT